TACAGTCGACACACTCAGAATATACAACACGTACAGTACATTCGACACACTTAGAATAGACAACACGTACCGTACAGTTAACACACATAGAATAGACAACACGTACAGTACAGTCGACACACTCAGAATATACAACACGTACAGTACAGTTAACACACTTAGAATAGGCAGCACGTACAGTACAGTCGACGCAATTAGAATAGACAAAACGTACAGTACATTAGACACACTTAGAACATACAACACATAGAGTTTTGTAGCTTTATTCTAGTTCTACTAATTTCATTGCACGAGTTGTGTTATGCGCAACAAATACGTATGAAATGTGGGGTGTGCATAACGAAACAAGAAATGTGGTGTTTGTCAAATTTATTTTACGTTCACGCTGTAGGTCAAAATCCTAATACAAGTAGCATTGGATAGTTTTTTGTTTTGTTGAACAATTATTGGATTATGTCGTTACAGCATCGCTTGATTTAATACGTAACAGGTATTTGAATTTCGGTGGTATTGGAATGGTGATAGGCCATGAAATAACACACGGCTTTGACGATAGAGGGCGACAGTATGATAAAGACGGTAATCTGGAACAGTGGTGGAGTGACGAATCTGTGAAAAAATTTAAATATAGTGCCCAAGTGTATCGTGGACCAATATGATGATTACTACATGTCTGAAAGTAATATGACAGTAAGTGTCATCTATCTACCTATATAATATGTGTCACCAATCAACTCATGTAATATGACAGTTAGTGCCACCAGTCCACTCAAGTAATATGATAGTAAGTGTCACCAATCTACAAATGTAATATGACAGCAAGTGTCACCAATTCACTCATGTAATATGACAGTAAGTGTCATCAATCCACTCATGTAATATGACAGTAAGTGTCATCAATTAACTCATGTAATATGGCAATAAGTGTCACTAATCCACTCATGTAATGTGACAGTAAGTGTCACCAATCTACTCATGTGATATGACAGCAAGTGTCACCAATCCACTCATGTATATGATAGTAAGTGTCATCAATCGACTCATGTAATATGACAGTGTGTGTCACCAATCTACTAATGTAATATGACAGTAAGTGTCACCAATCCGCTCATGTAATATGACAGTAAGTGTCACCAATCTACTCATATGATATGACAGCAAGTGTCACCAATCCACTCATGTATATGATAGTAAGTGTCATCAATCGACTCATGTAATATGACAGTGTGTGTCACCAATCTACTAATGTAATATGACAGTAAGTGTCACCAATCTACTCATGTAATATGACAGTAAGTGTCACCAATCTACTCATATGATATGACAGCAAGTGTCACCAATCCACACATGTATATGATAGTAAGTGTCATCAATCGACTCATGTAATATGACAGTAAGTGTCATCAATCTACTCATGTAATATGACAGTAAGTGTCACCAATCCACTCATGTATATGATAGTAAGTGTCATCAATCGACTCATGCAATATGACAGTAAGTGTCACCAATCTACTCATGTGATATGACAGCAAGTGTCACCAATCCACTCATGTATATGATAGTAAGTGTCATCAATCGACTCATGTAATATGACAGTAAGTGTCATCAATCTACTCATGTAATATGACAGTAAGTGTCACCAAAATCCACTCATGTAATATGAGAGTAAGTGTTATCAATCCACTCATGTAATATGACAGTAAGTGTCAAAAATCCACTCATGTAATATGACAGTAAGTGTCACGGTTCTTCTCATGTAATATGACAGTATGTGTCGCAATTCCACTCATGTATTAAAACAGTGTTATAAATCCACTAATGTAATATGAGAGTAAGTGTTACCAATCTACTCATTTATTATGACAGTAAGTGTCACCAATCCACTCATGTAATATGACAGTAAGTGTCGACAATCTACTCATGTATTGTGACAGTAAGTGTTACCAATCCAGTCATGTAATATGACAGTACGTGTCACAATTCCACTAATGTAACATGACAATAAGTGTTGCCAATCTACTCATTTAATATGACAGTAA